GCTCTGGGGATTAGGATTACTCCCAATTTGCATGGAATAAATGATGAACATGCACAAAATGCATTTGTGCTTGCAGTTAACTGTTGAATAAGCATCAGTAGCAGACAGTGGTCATTCCGTGGATGTACACAGCCAAAATCTCCCACAGTCATGACTGAGGATGCCTGAACTTAAACCATCTGGCTCAATGTTACGCCATAATCTGCTGCAAAAAATATCACATCGGTTGATGAGGCCAAAGGTCAATGTGCCTTTGAATGGTTGAAACTGTAAGTGTTTTAAACTATCCTGAAGCGTGAGGTTAAGCTCACTAGCCAGAGACTAAGCCAAGATTTGGAAAATGAACACAACAATTGAAAAACCACTTGTTCTTCAACTGTTGATGGTGACCTGTTACTTTCCCAAAGTTATGAGAACACAGTGTTACATTTGCGCCAATCTATAAACAACATTCAGGCCACGACTCAAGCAGAGATGCCACAGGGTCTGCTTGAAAAAAACAAATGGAACTGGGCCTGCTTAAAAAAAAAGGAACAGCTGCTTGACAAAACTGGAACTTTATGTTTTGTGTGAAAAAGCCACTCCGAAAGTCCCCGTTGTCATCTTTCTCTTGTAGCCAAGCCCAGTTCCGTTTATTTTATTCCGTTTATTTTTTCCCGCTAATTTTCGCTTCTCAGATGGGGTGGACTCAACCACAGTACTGTCTATGGCCTTTAAGCTGTCGGTTTGTTCAATCACTTTGACTTTTTCCATATTCCTATTATTCTGCCTACCCGAATTTCCAACGTAATATTCGACACGAAACACGCAGCGTGTTCACATGCGCCCATTCACTGTGCGATAAATCTCTGCCATTTTTGTTGTCTCTCGAGATCTCGTGGACGCGCAATAAATTAACACAAACTAACGAGGTTAAATGTAATTGTCCTCCAGCACATGACCTAGATGAACGCGCGTGGAGCTAGAAATGCGCACCGAGTATTTTATGCGCTCTGCTCATGTTCGCTCACACGTTGGCGTGCCACTTTTCATTTCATTGAAGGTCTCAAGTAGCAGATATAAACATGCATGAGCGCGTAAACAGCGTTGCATTCCTCATGTCTAGCGACCAATTTGGATTTGTCCTCCAGCACGTGACCCTCCATGCAAGGCCGGGCGTATGCACATGCTACCGATCTAGTCTATTTATTCTCTATCTATGACATGACCTTTGCACTACGTAATGCGCGCGACGAAAACATGGTTGGTACCCGGCGTTTTTTGTATTCACATATATCACTGCGATCGGAAACCACCGATAACTGAATGATAGACTTGATTTTCAGGCTGAATGCTTTGTGTGCTCAGCACACAACACGCCCTCACGCGGTGAAGCACGCGCAAGGTGCCGTTATATACTGCGTGCAAGTACGTTGGCCGCCTGTATCGCATGCAGGCTCGCCAACAACAAAGACATGTTTTTAAGACTACCTTAACAAACAATGTTGTGCCGTGTGTACGCAATGCTTACAACATGTAGGCCTACATGTACTAAACTTGAGAGCGCTAACAAGGTAAAAATCAACGCATTTCCACTGTTTTTCTTTTCCTTTTCCAGTTTATTTTGATGGCCGGAAAAACTGGAATTTTGTGGGATTTTCTCAAAAAAATGGAATTCCGGCTAAAACTGAAAAAGTGGCATGTCTGCTGAAGGGATTCAACAGAGTTTACCACCAAGAGTTTGCATCAAAGCGATCACTTTTTACTTCACTGCAGTGTTGTAGTCGAGCACTTTTTGCAGAGTACTGTGTACTACCTAGTACCAGTGTTGGAGTACTCGTACTCGTACTCCAGTACAACTCAAGTACACTCAAGTACTCGGCCTGTACTTGACCATCAGTAATTGAAAATTATTTGGACTAGGCCCGTACTCGATTCTTTGTACTCAAATTTTAGCACGGACTTGTTGGTTTGGATTCGGAAGTCGACCAGGGTTTCATCTAGGATTTCCAAAACTGCCTGTCATACCGTGGCCGGTGCACTTTCAAAAGTACCCATCCTCGTGGCAAGCAGGACTGTCGGCGCTTCATTCTAGTCCAATCCGATGATGGATGTACAAACATGTCTTGAGCGCATTCTGTGTAATATTGCTTGTGCGATCGACAAATAACTAGCTGCGCAAAAGATAGATAGATCACAACACATCCACATTTAGTTACAATCGATTGATCGCACAACAAAAAAGACATATTTTGCTGCGCGACTGCACTATCGCGCAAGCAAATCGACAGAGGGGCGCCCATTATACACTGGTGTCCGTGGTGCCGAGCACAAATGCGTTAAACGGTTACGGGCACCAGGCCAGGCAAATTGGAGACACCGTGAACGTGTGCATGCAGTGCAAACGTCTGTCATGTGTGTGGGTTTATGCTGTTGTATGGAGCTATAAATGCTGCACAGATAACGTGGCTGACAGCTTACTCCTTCGTTTTTATAAAAAAATTCCCCAAACAAAACCCACCCGTCATTTTTAATGTCCATTTGCCAAAATTCTACCCGTCATGTTTTATTGTCCATTTCGCAAAGTGCTCGTCCAAAATCACAAACTGCCCGTCCAAAAGACGGGTGAACGGGTCGCTAGATGAGACTCTGAACTTGACCCCTGTACTTTGGAATACAAATTGAGTACATTTCTTTTTTGTAATCGATTCCATTGCAACCTGGAACTCAAGTCGTTACCAGTGAGACTATATCGGGATTTTGCCCAAGTTTAAATCCTAATAGGGTTTTGCTTGGGAAAAATCCAAAAATAGTCTCACTGGTAACCGTGTAGCGCTGAGCAAACCTAAGAAGCATGGACTTGGCTAGCTCCAGATTCACGAATCCTCAGTGCCACAAAAAGCGCATGTACTGTCCCTTTCCAAAGGAAATCTTGGGAATTTTACACAAACAATATTCTACGTGTTTGAAATGCCTTGACTTTTCACGTGCGTGTCAAGTGTATGTGCACTGCTTAGTGAACATCGTTGTAGCTATATCGTCACTTTTCTGACTACTGTGGTCAGAAATGTGTGTACTGTATGTGCAAATTTGCAAAGTTGTTTTTTCTCCACATATTATGCTGTCTGTTTGGTTGAAACATTGAAGTATGGTGTCGTTCCTTTCACCCAATTTTGTTGGTGTCAGCCTTTATAAAAAATGTTGGTATAAAACTAGACTCCAACACTGCCGAGTACCTAGGTTGCCGAGTACGAGTACAAGTACGAGAACTTGTGCTTCCGGGTACAAGAACAAGTCTCTGAGTACTTGCACTTCCGAGTATGAGTATGAGTACTTGTATTCCAAGTACTTGTATTTCCGAATACGGCACCGGGTACACTGTGCTTGAAGCCTAAAATTATGTGTTCTGTTAATCACTTGTGATACAACCAAGGGTTCTTCTTTGTAGGCCTTTTCAATTACAACAGCAGTCTCCAATCAATGTAAATGTATTTTCCAAGGAAATGCTACACAGTTGAGATACAGACGTGAAACTGACAGTTTAGGCCAACTGTCATTTAATAAAATTATTCTATCCTACAGAGTTGTGCATTTGATTTTTATTATTATTATTATTCATGTATTTTCTGGGTCCTTGGATTCCTCAGACTTAAAAAAAGAAGAAAGTACAACAAGCATTCAAATGGCTGTGAAAAGATTTCTTCACAGGGTGTTTCTTCTGCATATGCATCATGAAGTTCGGAGTTGTCCCATATGTTTCTGATATGCAAAGAGCACAAAACATGCACGCGGCTTTGGACAAATTCCCTGTGATCCTTGAACCCAAACTTCACAACAGTGGACACAGACGACATGATACATGTATTATGGGGTTCTTTGCACGAACAACGTGTACAATGTAGGTAAAAAAGTGAAAAGTGCCACAGAGGCAAGCATAAGTGAACGTCGACGGTACACGTACAAAGTACATGCAACGTACATGCTAAAAAACAGCAGATTCACGTTTTCTTGGTGTCTACGCATTTAGTCTGCTTCCCATTCCTAGGCCTCTGTCTAAGGCTAGGCCGCTGTGGACCTGCTGCCGTAACCAGACTAGGGGCCGTTTTTCAAACCTCGGCTTCGGTGTGTCTCTTTCTCCAGTCATGCAGATTGGCAATGGGGCTGGACCCGTATTATAGGACCGAAACCGGGGTTCAGAAAAGGTTAATCGTACGACCATTTGAGGAACACCTCGCGGCGCACAGTGTGTACAGTGTGCCCACATACAGCATATGGGTCATTGTGCATAATTGGCCTGACCCCAGTCAGACCTTTATACAGACCTGGTCACGGCTGGCTGTTACTTGTGTTTGTACGGACGTGCGTAGAGTACAGAAAATTTCGATTTCTCTGCAATCGACCATTTGAAACTGAAAGTATCGATAAAATAAGGCCGTGGTAACTTAATGATATACCATTTTTTATCGAGTACCGCTATTCGAGTACGAGTAATTTGTTTTATCGAGTACTGTTACTCGAGTACGAGTACTTTGATGATCGAGTACACTTTTGACATGTGCGAGTACGAGTACTTTGCTGCTCGAGTACGAGTACCGTTGTATCGAGTACGAGTATTTTGACATTTGAGTACGAGTACTAAAAAAAGTATGAGTACCGAGTACGAGTACTACAACACTGCTTCACTGTCGACATCGTGCATATTCCGTCCTTTATTGTTTACATGTGGTGTCACACAAACACAACTGCATTAACCACTTGACGCCGGCTGAGGGACAAGCTGCCTCCGCAATGCTGTGGTCAGCTCTGGAATTTTGTCTGTGGGCAACGGCTGCTAGGCATATGACCGGCAGGGCAGTACCACTACTGCCCAGAGGCTCTGTGCAGTAATGGGTGTAAGCCTGTGCAGTGAGGCGTAAAAACCCGGCGGCAAAGGGTTAAGAAACCTAGAAAGTTATAACTCCAGCAACATTTTGAACAAAGTCATTTAGTTTAGTGTTACAGCTCTGCACCTGAATAATTACCTTTTTCATAAATCCACTGTATGTCTTTGTATGCACAGTCATACAGGACTAGTGGATACTCTGATGCCATCGAATACTGTGGTTTGCATGGCTGTGCTTTGATGTCCAAAAACCTGTCAATTATCTGCAAGGTAAATTTTAATTTCCAACAATTAGTCTTGAAAACAATTTTTGCGGATCTCCACACAGAGTATGTTCACGGAGTTAACTATGAATTACCGAATAGTCTACTTGCACTACTTATTCTCTGTACATCAGAGATTTCTTACACAATAGAATTTGACTATAACTATTTTTTTTAATTTGATAGACTGATCAGCAGATTGTGCATTCACATGTAGGATTGTTCAACTTACATGCATCATTTTGATTTTCAGAAATATACTTGTGTGTATAATTTTAGTTAACAGTAGGTAAGACAAGAGCAAAGAACAAAAAAGTGGTGAGGCACCTCTGGCTGTTCCTTGTGCTGTCCAATCAGAAACAAGATGGCAGCCATACATCGCACCTGATGGTACAGGAAAGCTTGTCCTATCACAGTCAGTTCATGCATTTGATACCCCACTTCACTAGAAAGTACATGTACACAGACAAAAAGAAAACAGTTCACATTAACCCATTAATACACTACATTGTCTGGGCGACCATCAAAAGAAAAATTCAAATGCATTCGCGCATCGACCAAACCTGACACTCATGCGAAAACGCTGTGGCTTAGCTTTCGTATATTCAGGATAAAAATGCCATGCGTACTTCACGCGCAAAACAGTTCAAAACACACATGCGGTGTGTCCCATCCATGCCCATGGGGCTCTAAATAGTGGTAAAAAAGTGCCCTCTTTTGTTGGCGTACAGAGCCCATTGGAAGTAAAAGGCAGGATAGCTGGTAAGGAGAGTAAAAGGCAGGATATAGTTGGGTGGTACAGGGAGTAAATGGCAGGGTAGTTTGTGGTGGTGTGGGCTCCGTGCGCCAATAAAGAGGGCGTCCTTTTACCTAGCAATGACGTCCCATGGGCGGGACACATACAATTCGCTGGTTGACATGCGTGCACCGTTCCTTGTGTGTGAGGCACGTACACCAGGGGATTTGAACTGTACACGCAGTGGCCGCGGTTTGCGGCAAAATATTGCAGGCAGGCAAGGTGACATCGTTCCGTCACACCCAATTGTACTTTCTTTGATGGTGAGGAGGTACTTGTGAATGGAGCGGATACGGAGTAAAAGTCAGAATACTTTCAGTGGTATAGGGAGTAAAAGGCAGGATAGTTTGTGGTGGTACAGGGAGTAAAAGGCAGGATAGTTTGTGGTGGTATAGGGAGTAAAAGGCAGGATAGTTTGTGGTGGTATACGGAGTAAAAGGCAGGATAGTTTGTGGTGGTATAGGGAGTAAAAGGCAGGATAGTTTGTGGGGGTATAGGGAGTAAAAGGCAGGATAGTTTGTGGTGGTAGAGGGAGTAAAAGGCAGGATAGTTTGTGGTGGTATAGGGAGTAAAAGGCAGGATAGTTTGTGGTGGTACAGGGAGTAAAAGGCAGGATAGTTTGTGGTGGTACAGGGAGTAAAAAGCAGGATAGTTTGTGGTGGTATAGGGAGTAAAAGGCAGGATAGTTTGTGGTGGTTTAGGGAGTAAAAGGCAGGATAGTTTGTGGTGGTACAGGGAGTAAAAGGCAGGATAGTTTGTGGTGGTATAGGGAGTAAAAGGCATGATAGTTTGTGGTGGTATACGGAGTAAAAGGCAGGATAGTTTGTGGTGGTACAGGGAGTAAAAGGCAGGATAGTTTGTGGTGGTACAGGGAGTAAAAGGCATGATAGTTTGTGCTGGTATAGGGAGTAAAAGGCAGGATAGTTTGTGGTGGTACAGGGAGTAAAAGGCAGGATAGTTTGTGGTGGTACAGGGAGTAAAAGGCAGGATAGTTTGTGGTGGTACAGGGAGTAAAAGGCATGATAGTTTGTGGTGGTAAAGGGAGTAAAAGGCAGGATAGTTTGTGGTGGTATAGGGAGTAAAAGGCAGGATAGTTTGTGGTGGTACATGTACAGGGAGTTTGTTTATAGGATAGTTTGTGGCTGATTACAATGCTCTATGTTTCTTGTTGTCTTTTGTCCAGAGTGGTATCCATTTGACTAAATGCTGTTATAAATCACAATGAATATTTATGTTTTTGTACTTTTTAAATTATTTCTGTATTTCAATACCTTTTGCTAACTCATTTGGATATTAAGGAAAATATGCATTACCCATTATCCAACGGAGTTATATCAATGGATATTATTGTACGCCAAAAGTTGACCACTCCATTTCCAACATCCATCTGAAAGACAGAGTATGTTTAAATATACACATTTGTAAAGTTGTGTAAAAAAGAAATGAACGCTATGGTGTTCTACAAACCACACTACCCAGCCCCATGCTTACAGTACCCCATTTTGTCAATGGCTTTCATCAAGAGGTGCTATCCAGAATCCATCACTCAATTGAACGAACAAACACACTGACACAATGGGGAAGCACCAACCACAGGGCTGAATGGGTCAATTGGTAGAGGGCTGGAATGGCAATCTGGAGGCTACAGGCTCAAACCCTGCTCCAGTCAATCTCAATGTTCAACTTCAGAATCAATTTAATGCACCTAATAAGTGTCCCTTGTGGTTCATTTGAAAAACATAAAAAATAAAGAAACTCCAAAAGACATCTAGATAAAACAGAAGTGTACAGATTTGCCCCCCCCCCCCATTTTGCATCCTTAGCAATAACCTTAATTATCTTTCAGAGAAATGGTTTGCTTCAATCAGATACATTTTTTTCAGAAATGTATTGGCGCATAAAAGTAACAGTAATAATGCTTAAAATCTTCACCATCAAAATAACCCACTTCATTTGAGGAAATGATCTTGAAAAACTAATGAATTGAACAGAAAATTTGTGACTTATTCTTTGCAAAACCAGGCTAATATTGCCAGAAATTTTTGAAAGTTTTTCATAATCCAAACTGTACTTTGGATAAATTAAACACAAACACAGTCAAAACAGAGTAGACAAAATAAGGTTCTAGTACCTTACAAAAGTTTCGGAAATCATGATCACCAACAAGCTTTTGGGCAGCTTCTTGCATACTCTGTTGAGAAAAACAAATCAACCATGTTCATTGCCAGCCTATTTTACTTAAAAAAAAGTAGAAAATTGCATTCACTAAAAAAAATATAAAAAACATGGGAATTAACGACGTGGTTTGAACGAGTTCACAGCAGTACCAATATTTGCATGCAATGTGCATAATAAGTAAGGTACCTGTTGTGCATTAATTAAGTACCCAGTCAACCTTTTTGGAATCATGCTTTTCAAGACAAGAGAACAAATAGAAAGATCAAATCTTCTAACTTGTTTTCCTTTTATAAAGGAGAGTAGAATGAATGTAACAAATCTGGCATGATTTTGTTGAGTACTGTGGCCTCGTGGTTAAGGGCACTGATTCGTGGTCTGCGGGTAAAGCTGCAGGTTGTGGGTTTGAGTCCTGGCGGGGTCATGGTGCGTGTGCCCTTGGGCAAGGCACTTTGTCACTCATTGCTTCTCTCCACCCAGGAGTAAATGGGTACCTGTGAGGGCAGAGATGGTTATTGTGATTGAATTAGCTTCCTTGCGCCTACATGTAACAGGCTGCATCGAGCTGTATACTCCCCAGGGAGCTGAGATGGTATTTGGAATGTTTCATGTGCCCAATGAGCAGGGGTAATCATGATGTAGCGCCTTGAGCACCAGTCCTGGTGGATACGTGCGCTTTATAAATATCCACTATTATTATTATTATTATGACACAATGTAATGTGGAGATTTGTTAGTGCTTTGATAGGCCTAAAAAAGTTGAGTTTAAAATCCCTTTTTGTGTGTACCACATGGACAACGTAACTCTGATGCTTGATCGGTGAGCAACAGGAATGCATATTTTCTTAAAGGAAATGAACACCACTTGCAAAACCTGTGTTTTTTCCCAAATTCAAGGAACAACGAGACATTCTGGAGCAGCTTATTCAAAAACTAACCTGTCAAAGTTTCAGCTCAGAAGATATACTTATAAAATCTGAAGGTTTGTATGGTAAAGACAGCAATAAGATCACCATGAGACAAATCTCTTATTGTCTGTCGTCAGTCTCCTGAAGACAGACGGAGTATACTGTCCGAAATGTTGAGTTTTCCATAGCTCTTTTCAGATCCTCACAAAAGAAACTTGTCACACGGTGCTACCATAAGGCACATCATACTTTTTGAGACAACTGTGAAAAAGCATCCTCATTTTTCTTGACACTATGCACTGGTTTTCATTTAAGGCATGATGGTTTGGTCATAATCATTGACTGGGAAATGACAACATACTTGGCACATGTATTTCACAGGATGCATGATCCTATTATTTACTTACAAAGTTGGATATTTCATGATATTTTTACAGTTTTATTTTGAATATTTGCAGATGGTGTTCATTGCCTTTAATTTCATTTACAGAGTTTGTGCTTTAGAAGGTGATAACATATAGAATGGGGGTATCTGGTTATGAAATTGGTAACAAGTAGGGGAGAGTGGGTTAAAATGGACCGTCAGGGTAAAATGGCACCCCTTGACTCCTGGAATATAGATACTGCCATCTAGCTTGGACTATACAAAGTGTTTTGTAACGAGTAGATCATATCAAAGCTGCCACTGATTGGATGGTGCTTGCTCCAACATTAAAAAATCTTTGCTAAAGTTTTTGGACCTTGTGATCCAGTTACCTTACTCAGTTACCAAGGGGTCTTTGAAAAATAAGGGTAGAAAGAGATGTTATTTTTTGGTTGAGTTTTACGTTTATTAATGCCATCTATATACGGATGGGTAAAAGTGAAGCCGATACGTTCGGTTTGTCCTGTTCTAAGTTTTTTTAAAATAATAATTACCTTGGAATCGTTGAGGTAAAACAGACCACATAATAGCGGATGTTAAAGTGGATGGTGTTCCGTTTGACCCCACCATGTACAAACTTATATTCTAATCTCAATTTAAACTTTCCCACTTTATCACCATATGCCCCAATTAAGAAAAGCGTGGACTGCATGGTGTTCATCATGGTGACGTCTGTGCGCGAGCAGCGCACAGGCGTTGCTTAGTGGCTGCATAATAACATATTAATTGTTCGTTTCTACTGTTGAGCTTGGTGTAGTTGAGTCAGGTCCGTACCAACCATCCTCAGGTCGTCCAGAAGTTGCTGTTGATAGGTTCGCATAAGTGCGCCACCTCTTCGGTATGGTTCTGTAGGTTGGTTGTTTTTGTCCAAGAGCAATGAGAGGGGTGTGTCACGCCTGGTTGCGTGGGCAATCAGTTGTAGGCGGTGTTTGCGAAGGGTTGTTGATGCCTGTGGGATTTTGGTTTGGCGATAAAGTTCAACATTGGTGATGCGTTTGGGGTATCTGATGTTGAGTGCGTAGCGTAGCAAAGCTCGATGTGATGCGTCGATGGTTTTTGCGAGCGTTTCTGTTAGCGTCCAGCTGGCCCCACTGTAGAACAGCACCGACTCAATGCAGGCAGTAAATAGTTTGACCTTCAGGTGATTGCTTGCTGTACAGGTCCATACTATATCGAGTTTTCGGCACGCCACCCATGCGAGATGTCGTCGGCGTTGGAAAGCTGATTGACTGTTGCTAACGTTGCATCCCAAGTAGCAGAACTCTGTGCACGGGGGCAGCGGATCACCTGATAGTGTATGGATTGGTGAAATTTGGTCAATGCCAATGTACATGACCACAGTTTTCTGCGGGTTTATACGCAGACCAACTTGTGCTGAAGCACGTTCAAAACGGTGAAATTGGCGCTGTGCAGCATCGACTGTATCACTCATCAGTACAACGTCATCGGCGTAGGCAAGACCAGGTAACTTAACTGCCAGGTTACGTGAAGACAGCCGTCGGAGAACCGTGTACCCATCAGCATCTTCACATAATGAAATGCGGAGAACATAGTCTAGCAGGATGATGAACAGGTATGGCGCCAAAGTGTCACCTTGCAACACACCAGATGTTGTTCTGAACCGATCTGTGTCACCTGATGATGTTCGCACGTATGCTTCAGTGTTAGTGTACAGAGACATGATGGCATCGATTATTTGCGTAGGTACTCCATAGAATTCGAGGATCTCAGGTAGGCATGCTCTGTCTACATAGTCAAATGCTTTGCTATAGTCGGCGAATATAGCAACAAGGCTCTTCTTGCGTGCTCTGCATGTATCAATACAGAGTTTGATGCACAAGATTTGCTCTGTAGTGTTGCGGTAGGGTCGAAAGCCGGCTTGCAGATTCCAAAGTAAAGATTCAATTCGGCCGCGTAAACGCTCAAGCATAACTCGATTGAACAACTTGGCGTTGACTGACATTAACGAAAGTCCACGTTGGTTGTTGAGCGATGTTGAGTTGCTCTTCTTCGGTACTGTAACAATGATGGAAGTCGTGAACGCTGGGGGTGGTGGGTTACCAGCCACGATGGAGTTCATGGTTGGAAGCGTTAAGCTGGCTGTTGGCAGCAGTCTAGCGACATCGGATGGTATGTTGTCAGGACCACTTGCTTTCCCGCACGGTATGGTTTTGCAAGCCTTGAGTAGTTCTCTGTCGTTTATTGGGCCGATATCTATGGTAGGTGCATGGTCGATTTGTTGTATGGTAATGGGTTCTAGAGTGACTGGTTGGTGAGGGGCATTGAGCAAGTCACGGAAGTGATCGTGGACTTTGGAAAGTCGATCTTCGATCGAGTCAGCTGCTATAAGTGCTGGTGGCCTGTTCTTCTTGCATGTCATATGCGTGATGCCTTTCCAAACAGCTTTGCCTCGTCCGGCTTCATGGTGCTGATTAATTTCGTCAGCCACCTCACTGATTATTTCTTCTCGTCGGCGTTTGTATGTTTCGTCAATGAACGCTTCCAGCTCAAGTTGAGCAGAGTTCGGATTTCGTCTTCGTGCTTCTGTCAAAGCCGAACGTGCCTGTTGTACCTGTAGGTCGTTGTCCCATAAACACGTTTGTGGTGGGTTGCGTTTGCACTTGGGCAGAGTTGTATCTGCTGCAGCATGTATTGCTTCAGCAACAGACTGGTAGTCGTCACGTCCGCCAAGTAAACGTGTGACCTCTTCCACGAACCGTCGACGTGTGGCGGGTACTTTGAGAGACAGCCAGTGTGGTGGTCTCGTTGCGGACTTGTGATGTTTTGTTGGTCGCCATACTCTGAGACTGAGTCGTGTGATCACCATTGCGTGGTCGGACCGCACGCACTGTAATCTCACCGTTTGTACCTTTTGAATGATCCGTGCCTTGCCTTGACTGATGAAAACGTAGTCCAGGCGAGCTTTTCGATTACGAGGTCCATAGAATGTCACGATTTTAGATTGTTTTTGTCTCATAACCCCATTGATAGCAATGAGTTCGTTGGATGCAACAAAATTAGCCACTTCGTTGGTATGAGGTGAGGTTGTTTGTCAAAAGCCATGGTAGTTTTTGATGGTAATACCGTCAGCAGGTAAGTCGGCGTTCATGTCGCCTGCAACCACAGTTATATCGCGTGTGGATCTGGAAGCGAGGTAAGAGTTCATAATGTCGATGCAGTCGACTGTTTCTTGCAGGTTGCCACATGATGTGGGCATGTATGCATTCAGAACGTTCAGTTTCATGTTGTGAAGTTGTATCGTTATTGTAGTGATTCGATCATGTAACTTTTCGAAGCCAAGTATGGCCGATTTGATATGGGGTGCCAGTAGAAATGATACACCCCCGTGCCCTCCAGTTCGAGCTGAGGCCATATAGACGGTCCAGCCCTTGCCAACGTCAATAACGGATGTTTCGTCAATTATAACTTGTCGATGCTCTTGGATGCATAAAATGTCAATGTTTTGTTCCTTGCAGAAATTTGTAAGTTCATATAAGCGACTGTGTTAGTGATAGTTCATATAAGCGACTGTGTTAAGTGATAGCATGGTGTTAGTGATAGCCAAATGGGAAAACTAAATCAAAGAGAAAATAAGAAAATATGCATTCTTCTTAGAAAATAATGTAAAACACCCTATGAGATTGATGCAGGGTTTGGATTAGATATGACAAAAATAATATCAGGCGAAATATATATTTAGCTAATAGAAAAAAATTGAATTGTATATGGGGCTTCATCTTGACCTTTTGGCTTGTTATTCCGTTTTACCCCTTATGGGGTAAAACAGTCTAGTGATAGAAATGTTTTAATTGCCCTGTAACCGTGGCAACACTTATCGAAGTTACATTTACACTCTTGCACAATACAGCAATAAGGTCTGTATTGGCCTGAGAAGTTAAGTGTGCCATTATACCCCACTCTGCCCTACTCACAGGGCACTGAGCATTTCTTTTTAAAGCAATTATTCTTATCATTCTTTTATACATACATTATATTGAGGGCATGCCATGGGCTTGTGACATGTGCAGGTATTCTGTGATATAAATGCACATGAAACTTGACAAAACCACACCCTGGCTGGCAACATTGGTAAACAAAAAGCACCTGATCCAATTCATTTAAAAAAATTTCATTGGAATATTACACCATGTTTTTCAAAGTGGTCCCAGAAGCTCAAGAACAGTGATAACTTAAAGCATTTATTTGGGCAAAATACATCTGAACACAATACTGTTTTGTAACAATATAATTGCGAATTGTGTGTGTTGCCTTTTTCCATGGTCAATCCCTATATGTTTTGTGTTTTTAAAACAGTCAAGTTTTGTGCATTTTTAAACGACCTGAAATTATCACCATATGACCCAGAGATGAAACTGGCACGTGGCAAAAAAATCAGAAAATGGGCAGAACAAAAATACGTGTCCGAAATCTGGGCCGCGCTGCCGTTACACACATGTACATGCATGTACAATACACTTCATGCCTGATTTCCGGACACCAACTTCTGCTTTATTTTACGATGAACAAAAAATGGTCAGTGTTTTCATTGCATATAAAACACCTGAATTACGGTCAGAGTAATGGAGTCATCACCAAAAAAGTTCACTTCTTACTTGAGAAAGTCAAGGAAAAAGTCCGAAAGTCAAGGGCACCGTGCATGGTGCTTCAGTTCAGTCAATCATGTCCATGATTCAACCACACAACTCCACTACTCCACTTGCATTCGTACGAGGGGAAAAATCAGGCATTATCGTCTTTCTCTTCCAACAAATTCCAGTAACAATGCTTCGCTAATGCTCTCTTCGCTATCCTCGAGATAATCATCATGATTTTTAAAGCATTGCATTTTGTACAACTAAATCTGAAACCTCCGAAAATCGCACAACATAATGATTTTGTCCACTGGATCGTTCACGAGGCTACCGGTTCCCGACCAGCCACGTGCCAATGCATAGCAGACGGTGCGGTACATACGCTGACCATTGCATATCATATTTGTACATATGCAAGCACGTGCGACACAGTGATTTTTCCATGTCACTTGTCAATGTTTAACCTTTTGTCCAGCCGGAAAAGGCTCCGATCAGTGTTATGGCCTGTGTTTCTACGGTTGAAACACTCCAATAACGACTGGTGAAAGAGATTAAAACTACGTTCACGATGATTTTAACGTGCCATTTCCATCAACTTTTCATTGAATTTTCTTTATGATTGAAATAAAACGACATTTTGTGGAAAAATCGTTATAAAATCAAATTTTGTGGGACACATTGTAAGAAAATCAGAAATTTCGTTGGAAAAGTCAAAAAGTCGGATTTCCGATTAAAATCGGAAAAGTTTCATCTCTTATGACCTTTGACCTCCAATTTCGGAAGAGTTGTGCTGAACCCTCCTCCCAAGGATTTCTCCATCCAAGTTACATTAAAATCCATCAAATTCTGTAGACTTAAAACATTTGAAGTGTATTTGAACAATGACCTCTAATGACCCCTACATGACCTTTGACCTCAGTAATCCCACCCAAGGGTCACTGCATCCAAGTTTCATCAAAATCCATGAAAGCATGTACAAGTTATACATTTGGTTCAAAACTGAATCCAAACTGTAACATACACACTACAGACATGCCAGCCGATGGGATTTACGGGGTAGGAGTATTGTTGTCCTTTTATCCCTTTTTCTAAAGATTTCACACATGGGTACTGTTTTTCTTAAGATTTCACTTTTGTATGAGTACTCCACAAGTAGCTCTGGTGTGTGGGTCTTTGGACATATATGGTCATACAGAATTTAGGACTGGTAAGTGTCTCCCAATACTTTGCTTAGGCGACACAAAAATGATACAAGTGTTAAGTAAACCCTTGTTTAAAGTAAACCCAAATCATTAACCCGTCTCAAAGAGTTTAACACATGAAAAAGTAGCAATTCAACTTCAACTCAAACTTACTTTGATGTCTAGGTTCCCCCTTGGAAAGAAGTATTTATAGGTCCTGTGAAGTGTGCTAAACCTGAAAAATATCAGAATTATTGGAATGTGAACATATTTTTAAAATGACAATATACAAGTGAAGAGTAAATTCTAATTGTGGTGCTGGAACATAGCCAAAGAGTTCATTGAAACCTTGGAGGACCCTATGATGAAACATTAAGACCTATGGACTCTGTGCATGGGCATCCCATCCATCAGTGAACTAAGAAACAACACCAACACTGAATTGTAGGCAAGTTCTTCACAAAGACAATTTGCTTTGTGCAAGCTGTGCACTGAGACAATTGTATTGTTGGGGGGGGGGGGGGGGACACGACTAATTAACTAAAGTCCCTACCTAAAAATACATCCCTCAACACGTACTTTCTTCACTTCAGCACCATTCCCCAAAGGGATCCTTTTTCTATGCTTTTTCTAACACATTTGAATTTTACCCGTACATCCTCAAATAAGTTGGTGTGCAATGCCGTGCAATGCCAAAAAAAAAATCACAAACAAAAATAAAACCAGCCCCCCCCCCAAATACCCTAATTTGGAAGGATACCATGGGGGAGGACAATCAAGCATATGTTGATGGGTATTACCAATGGATCAACTGCTAGTCAACCGATGCCTTTGATCTGCTTGCTTATACATACCCCTACCCTATAAGAAACACTTTTGTCCATCCTTACCGTGCATTAAAGCTTGGATTGACTGGTGTCCATGCAAGGACACGAATAGTCTCAGGCAGCATCCTGTTCAAGATGTGTGTATATTCAATCTCCTGTGTCTTATCCCCTTCGTGAGTCACAAGAGAGGTAGAAGAAACACAAGTAATATCGGTCAATATTTTTTTTTTACCTTTACGAGGGGAAAGGTTAGGAGGGTTTAAGAAAATTGCCTTTGTTGATTGCTATTATATACATATTGACTGGAAATAAGGTCACTACAGTGTGTCTTGGGAAAAGCAGGCCTGGACAAATCAGCGGCCATACCGAAGCAAATATTCATGTGAGACTAAATTTCTTTAGTATCTTTTCATGCTGTTGATGTTGTTTATAGCCTGAAGAAAAATAACCTGAATTGATTAAAAACTTTTATAACCATGACTACAAACGTGAGAGCTCCATAAAATGAAATTTACACTTGTGTGCAGCATTAGCTTGTGCTGGTAAAGTAGTGGAGACAGGGAGACCACAAACCTGTATTATGCACATTCAGAACACATTTCACATGCAAACAAGAAGAGACAATGTCTTTATTTCATAACACATTTTTTTGCAATGTTCATAAAATCTGATTTCTGATAAAATTAAATAGAAGAAGTGGGTAGAGCCGTCGTGCTTTGTCGACAGATCTTAGGTAGCTGTGCCACAGCGGCTAACCGAATCAAACTGAATCAAACCGATCAAATTAAATATTGCCCCTTGAATACATGTAGTCTCTTCTTGTTTGCATGTGAAATGTGTTCGTGTATGATACAGGTTCGTGGATTTGTCTCTCTTCAATTATTTACCAGCACAAGCAAACGTCGCAAAAAGAGTACATTTCAATTTTATTTATTTATTACATTTCTAATCATGGCTTTTCAAGTTTTCTATCAATTCAGTTTATTTTTCCACAGGCAATAAACAACATCAACAGCATAAAAAACACAAACGAAATTTAGTCTGACATAGTGGTTTAGATATGGCCGCTGATTTGTCAGGGCCCACTTTTGCTGAGACACACTGTAGAGCATGTATGTGCTCCCTGAGGATTGTAGGTGACCAACAGATGGTCCAATTTACAGGGGCCAAAGGCTGATGGAAATAGGACCCTGTTGTAGTCACTCATATTCATGAGGGCCTGCAAAAAGTTGCCAGTTGTGTGTACTCATCGTAAAATGGTATTTTTAGTGGGGCTGTTAAGGTCAAATACATGATACAATTGTGCACTTATAAAGCATGAAACTTCGCATGTTGATTATTCATGCCATGAAGACAATTTTCAGATGTGGAGACATTTCATATTTGATCTCTGGTGACCTTTGAGAGGTCAATGAACTTTACACTATTTATAATAACTGTTCTTGAAAACACCAATTTCCTATGATCTCAGTCTATGTCACAGGTCTTCAGGCAATGGAAATAATGATCAGATGTGAAAAAAAAATCATACTTGACCTCCAGTGACCTTTGAGAGGTCAATGACCTATATATACAGTATTTATAATTATTTATAAGATCGATACTTTAAACCACAACTTTTTCAAGACCCAACTCTAAAAGTTAGGTGTTCATGCTATGAAAAGCATTTTCATATGAAGGACATTTCATATCTGACCTCTGGTGATCTTCAAGGGGTCAATGAACTTTGTATACCCTATTTAAAGCTATCTATAAGATTTACTATTCAAAACCCAACTTTTTCATGACCCAAGTCTAAAAGTTGGCTCTTCGTGACATGAACAGAATTTTTGGATGTGTAAACATTCATATTTGACCCCTGGTGACCTTTATGAGGTCGATAAACTTTGCATACCCTATTTGCCGCTATTTATAATATTTAATATTCCAAATGCCACTTTTGCATGACCAAAGTCTAAATAGGTCAACACCAGTGTATTTTAAGTATTATTCTACAGCATGTCATTAATTCAGGCCCCAAGGACTTTTTTATGACCTCTGATCTCCATTTCCCTTTTTTGAAGGGTAGACAGGGGCGCAACAGAATACAAGAGGTACATTGGACAAGAATCACACTCTAACAGTGACCGGTGGGCTTGGTAAAAAGGTTAAAAATGTGGTGACCCAAGTCCATCTAAATACCACAGAGTGTAATAAGTACACAAGATTGACTATTGTTAGACATTTGTACATATTACATTGTAAAGAAAGTCCAACAGTCTTTTATCCCAGTCGCAGCATGTTGCGTCCGCCAATTGAAAAATAACAGCGTTGCTGTTGAAACCCCTCAGCCAGAGTCAAGTTATCGTCTGGAAACCATTAACTTAACATGGTGACCTTGACCTTTGGCCTTTGACCCCAGAACCAGTCCCAACATGCCTGTACCAATGGGAAACCCCCTACTGAAAATAGACCCAAAATTTCATGTCTAACTCAAGTTATCATTCGGAACCATTTACATTTAACTCACCACGGTGACCTTGACCTTTGACCTTTTGACCCCAAAACCAATCCCAACTTGCCTACTCTCAAGGGCAACCCCCTACCAAAATTAGACATCAAAATCTCATTTCTAACTCAAGTTATCATCCAGAAACCATTTACCTTTAACTCACCATGGTGACCTTGGCCTTTGACCTTTTGACCCCAAAAACCAATCCCAACTTGCCTACTCCCAAGGGCAACCCTCTACCAAAGTTAGACACCAAAATCTCATTTCTAATTCAAGTTATCATCCGGAAACTATTTAACTTTAACTCACCACGGTGACCTTGACCTTTGACCTTTTGACCTCAAAACCGATCCCAACTTGCCTACTCCTAAGGGCAACCCCCTACCGAAGTTACAACCCGAAACAACATTTCTAACTCAAGTTATCATCCGGAAAACATTTACCTTTAACTCACCATGGTGACCTTGACCTTTGACCTTTTGACCCCAAAACCAATCCCAACTTGCCTACTCCCAAGGGCAACCCTCTACCAAAGTTTGACACCAAAATCTGATTTCTAACTGAAGTTATCATCCGGAAACCATTTCTCTTTAACTCACCATGGTGACCTTGACCTTTGACCTTTTGACCTCAAAACCAATCCCAACTTGCCTACTCCCAAGGGCAACCCCCTACCGAAGTTACAATCCCAAAGAACATTTCTAACTCAAGTTATCATCCGGAAACTAAGCTGCCCGGACGGACACACTGACATACGAACGGGCGAGGGTTCTAGCCAGACGGACTTGTGGGGTGATAGCATTGTGTTCCCATTATCCCTTTTTCTAAAGATTCCCTTCTGGGGTGATGTTTTTCTATTGTGTAAAAAGTGGGGTGATGTGTTCTGAAAGGAACATCATCCCACAAGGGTGGTCTGGTCAGAACGGACGGACGGACAGATGGACGCCCTAGGCGATGACAATACCACTCGAGCCTCTCGGCTGAGGGGTAAAAAGGGAAATGGAGGTCAGATGTCACCCCAAATTTTTTTGTGGGATTCAAATTCATTACACTGTATAATAATAGGTGCAATACCTTTCTTTTGTAATATTGAGGTTTGGGTCACGAAAAAAGGCGTTTTGACGAATAAATATAAAAAATAACGAAAAATAAGGTATATAAAGTTCATTGACCTATCAAAGGGTACCACAGGTCAGATTATTATGTCCCCGTATCTGAAAATTCTTTTCTTGTCACAAAGAGCCAACTTTTAGACTTGGGTCCTGAAATAGTTGGGTTTTGAAAAATGAATCTTATAAATATCTATAAATAGGGCATACAAAGTGTATTGACCTCTTGAAGGTCACCAGAGGTCAGATATGAATGCCCTACATATGAAACAAAAATCATAGCATAAACACCTAACATTTAGACTTGGTCTTGAAAAAGTTGGGGTTTAAAGAGTAAATATTATAATAACGACAAAATATGTATACAAAGGTCATTGACCTCTGGAAGGTCACTAAAGGTCAAAACAAAATTTGCTTTCACATCTGATCTTTATTTTCATGGCCTGAAGACCTATGTCATAGACTTGGGTCATAGGAAAGTGGTGTTTTCAAGAACAATTGTTATAAATAGTGTATGTAAACATCATTGACCTCTCAAAGGTCACCAGAGGTCAAATATGAAATGTCTCCACATCTGGAAATTTTCCTCATGGCATGAATAACCAACATGCGAAGTTTCATGCTTTAGTCACAAAGTGCACAATCGTATCACTCAACAGCCCCACTATTTGTATTCAACTTTTAGTTGTTTTAAACACCATTTAATCTCACCTGGTCTTTCGTGTGCCTTTCTGCCTGGGGTCTGAATGACCCCCAACCCTTCCAGCAGATTTGACCTCAGGTCAATAGAGATGACCTGGCCAAACGCACTCACACCTTTGTCAGTGCGACCACAGCGGGAGTAGTTTGCAGTTTCCCTGGACTGGATGAGACGTGTCTTCATCAGTGCCTCAAATAGCTCTGCCTGGGTATACACATAAGTAAAGAAAAGGTCCAAACTGGATACTGCAAAGCATACAATGTTTTTGCTGAAAGAGTCTCTGTCTACTTCATTGAGACAGTGAGGCCAAACAAAATAATAGTTCTGCTTCCGGTTACCCTACCTACTCTATTTTGACAGCCCCTACACTAATTCTTTTAGGGGAAAATTAGAAGGAAAAAACAGAAAAAGTACTACCTTTTACCCTTGACTACACGCAGACACCTCCTTACGATCGTACAGAAAAAAGGTGCCCCCAAAGAAATTCCCTACCTACCCTATTTTCCAATGCCATGTAATTGGAAGCAGAACTATGTTTTTTTTTGGCCTGAGCACTAAACACAGCAAAGAGTGGGCCCAGTTCAAATTCGGAATGGCTTACAATAGAGATGCAACAACATAAATTTCTGTGCCCTGCAAATTTAACGCATACTGGCTGCTGTATCAAACATAACCAAACAGGGTTTTTTACTGTAAATATAAGACAGCTTATGAACTTCCTGCAATACTGATCTTTAAACTCCGCACAAAAGTCACCTTTAAGTTTTTTTGGAGCACGCATATTCTGTATTCACAAAATTAACATCTCTCAGTACCTCAATTGTTTTTTCAGTGTTTTCTTGGCTGGCAAAGCCTTGATAGTCCCAGCCGAGGTAGGCGATCCGCAAAGCAACATGTCTTGTGTTGTACCTGCATAAAATCACACATAAAATGATGCAGTTACATGACAGAAAAATAGGCAGTCTGGAAAAACTAGATTCGGCTTGAACTGTTTCTACCCTGTTTCTGCCTGGAATCACTCTTTATGTTTTGATAGTAGTTTGATGATAATCAGAAATTTGAAATCTAGCCTCTATTATATGGGACTTGATGTCCTAACTTTGGTGAGGTAGTAAAAAAATGTGACATTGGGTTACTGCACAGTGTTTGATTTTGGACAGTTTAAAATGTTTCTCCCTTAACTTCACAGGGGTTTTCTCCCTAAATCTCACATAGGGTTATATGCACAAATATTTACCCAACTTTAAGGCCAGTTCATGATTCAGGCAACTTAGAATGCAGAGCATAAAATCATGTTTATGATAGTAGGCCAGCCAAATGTGGAAAAGTTCTCTAGAAAATAATTTCCCAGCATTTCTGGTAATAGCTGGCATCCATGCTAGATCAATTCTTTGAACCATAACAAACAAGATGTGGGGGGATGCCATCGTTGATTTAGACCCTAAATTCACCTAATTTGCATAAATCCCTAATACCTGCCGTGTAATATATTTTCCCCCATATTTGGGAATATTTTCTAATTTTTTTGTATTTGAAAATTTTGTTTTGGTGAGTCAACTTATACTTCCTTACCTCAATAACATTTGCTAAACCATATAGGTGACTGAACAATTATGAGGACATAGTAACAATCCAAAATGGCTACTATTATACCCCAAAGTTGCACGCATTTACCGTGTTTCCAGATATGTTGCCAAACCTCAGTATTGACGAGCTTCAAATTTACCAAGTTGCTTACTGACACAGTTACCGTATTAACAGCTTATATGGTAAAACATGTGAACAATGATAATGTTGTGATATTTAGCCCAGCAAACAAAAATGGGGAAAACAAGGTGTCTGTTAACTGGCTTAATTAGTGAAGGGTTGCCTAACGTGGGAGACTTGAAAAAGTTCAAGGAAATTTCAAAAATTATTGGAAAGAAAATTAATGGAAAGAAAACATTCGGACATTGACATTATTATTGCAAGCAATTTTTTTTTTTTGGGGGGGGGGGATTTTCTTGTTCAAGTCTACCATGTTAGGCGACCCTTCGCCCAGTTTATGGACGGCCAGCTGGTTTGCCCATTTTATTTGATGAGCTAAATATCACACTGTTATCATTGTTCACATAATCATCCACAAAGTTTAAATAGGGCAACTGTGCCAGTAAGCAACCTTATGAATTGGATGCCTATCAATACTGAGGTTTGGCAAGACTACTTGATGATATCCGGAGACAAGGTAAATGCGCAGAAGTTTTGGGTTTAATAGTAGCCATTTTGGATTGTTAATATGTCCTCATAATTATTCAGTCACTTATATGCTTAAGAAAATGTTATTTAAGTAAGGGTGTTTAAGTTGAATCACCAAAATAAACTTTTCAAATAATACAAAAATTAAGAATACATGTATACCCAAATATGGGAGTAAATATATGTACATTCCAGGCAGGGATAAACAATTTATGCAAATTAGGTATATTTGGGTAAAAAATAAGGGTGGCATCCACCTACATTTCATTCTCCATCCTTTGACTGATTGATTTGACATGGTTGCCTGCAATTACCAAAAAAATGCAGTCCAAAGTGTAATTTTCCACTTTGACTGGTCCACTATGATGTAAAAAAACACTGGCAGCAAAAGTTACATGCAATGAAGGTGCCCCATTCAGCCAATTTGCTGTGTGGAAATTGCATATGATGCAGTATTTGTATTGATGTCAAGTATGAAACAACCTTTAAGTCTTTTAACAAACCCGACATTCAGAACCCAGCAAACAAAATCTCACTTTGAAAAATCAAAGGGCCTTTGTGTTCTCTGCTTTTTGCTCCTTCTTACAGCTGTCTGAGCATTTTGTTGTCGGTCCTGTTTATTTGCAGTATCATTGTGCTGAATGCTTTGTAATGTGGCTACTTCAGACCTCAACTGCTGAATGGTTGCTAAAAGTTCCTGTAACATATGAAAACAGTCAGAGTTTATAAAGTGTTCAGGATCCAGCACAAACACAGTACATAGCCAGGACATTCGGGGCTGGCCCCCCAAAATGTGCAAGTAGACAAGACTCTATACCTTGGCCATACCTACATGTACGTGTGCAGAAATGGCAAGGGCCTACACTGAAGAAACGGGGTTTTTCTCTTCAGCATCATTCCATCTGATATCCTGCAGACAGGTTTCGTTACGCCAGCATTCACTTTCTACCACAACAATTCAAATCCCTGATTTCTTGTTTTGGTTAAATTTGCCACTTGCTTTTTGGTTGCACAAAATTGTGCAGCTTTGCTACAGAAATTAAGAGGCAAATTTCACCAGAAGGAGAAAAATGGGGGAGTTGTAATTTATACAGCCAAATCATTCCGATCAAAAAAAAAAAACCTTTCAGTAACTTTCCTGAAAGCTTTTTGTACACATGTAGGTATGGACAAGCAGGGTAAGCAAAGGACTCTCATCCCAGAGATTGCAGGTTTGAAACACGTCACTGATTTCAATGTTGGTACCGGTACCTTAAACACCTTGTTCCCCCAAAGTGCGTTTTTTGACAGTGGATATTTGACCCTGAAGCAGTCCCTGATTGTTTTCGTTGTTGAACCAGCACTACACTGAACATTCGCAGTGAGTGGGTTTTTTTTGGCACTTACACATTTTAACCGCGACGCGTATCATATTATGCAAGATCATTTGTATTATATTGTGGTACAAGGAGCTCCATCGACAAGGCTATTTGAAAGGTCAAATAAAGCATGTTTTGCATTACACTACAGGTATGTATGCGTCAGGGCTTGAATTGAACTACGGCCATGACGGTCAGTGCCGTTGTTGCCTTCTTACGTGTCTTGGCCGGTGCACATGCGTGTTCACATGACTTCCGTGGTTTGAGGGAGCATGCTGAATGGCTAAGAATCAGGAGGACGACGTGAATATTTATAATACACCTGATCATTGCTGATATTTACGCGTCTTGGCCGGTGCACATGTGTGTTCACATGACTTGTGTGGTGATCACCAGTGCATCACAGTCTGCAACACATGCTTTAGGTGTCTGCAAAAAAATCCCCCCCCCAAAAAAAATGGTACGTTAGCATATAGTAATGTCAAAATCTTGTTTTTAGAATAAGAACATAATGATGTAATGCATCAAATTCGAAACGACCCTTTGAGCTTTTTACCCTTATAGCAATCGATTCGCTCTAGACTGTGTTGCACTGGTGATCACCACACAAGTCATGTGAACACACTTGTGCACCGGCCAAGACGCATAAATGTCAGGTGTTTTACACATATTCACATTGCCTCCTGATTCTTAGCTTTTCAGCATGCTCCGTCAAACCTAATAAACCAGACAATTTTCACCAGAACTTCAGAAGAAACCACAGGGATGTTCTAATTGTGGTGAAAAAGTGAGATGCTTAGGTAAGTGAATCCGCAAGTCAAGTATCAGGACGAGTGATTGTTATGGAAAAAATGTCATCATTTCCCTAGCAGGAGTTACCTCAGCCCTATGTTTTAACATTGGGTTGTCCTATAGGGCTGGAGGAAATTGTCAACAAGGATTAGCAACTCTTAAAATTGAACTCCAAAATGTGCCATTTTGTTCCCGTGACACACTAATTCCCCTTGGGACTCACCCACACCTTGTCAGGCATAACCACTACACATGTCCATAGAGAAAATAACGATCCACGATGAAGATTCAGCCTACGATTGCAGTGAACAATCAGGAAATTAGGTCCACTCTACATTTGGCTCGACCATGTGGGATGGAGGTGGGAATGTATGCTCGAATGTAGCATGAAGATCAGCGCACGCGCAACGTACGTAAACACACAACTTAAACATGACCCGTGCATTCATCAGATCGGAGACGCGAGGCTGGTGAGTAAAAACTCAGATTTTCCACCCAAAAAATTGTCCCACGATACAAATGTCAATCGCTCTGAAAGATTGCAAAGTTGGGTGAATTTGTGTTCAGAAATTGAAATAACAGACAAAGGAATTTCGTCTATCAAAGTGTATTTCCTAAAGCCATAGTGTACTGACCACTAAAAAATCATCATGTTAGAAAGCTCACAGAGCCTTCTAATTCTAGAGGTATCATTTCCTTATCTTTTTGAGTGCATGTGGGTATGGCCTTGAGCACACTCAGTCATGTCAGTGCATAGCCCTAGAAAGTAAGAACATGTAAAATATTCTATTTTTTTACAAGTTCTGTTCATAACTGAATTTTGCAGGTGACTGTCCCATACCAAAGTGACTTTTGCAGGCTAAAGCAATCTTTTTTCTTCAGATTAAATTTTGTTGTAATTTTGAAAAGCACTATCAAAGAAAATGTGACTTCCCTACTTTTTTTGCAGTCAGAGATGTGAGACCTGCACGTATGTAGTTCTCACAACACGCATGAAAGCCCGACACAATGAAAGCCTGATGCTGATTGGCTCATCAGCCTGATACTGATAGAAAAACTAGAAAATATAGTTTGTTATCAGCCAATCAGCATCGAGCTTTCATTGCATCAAGCTTTCAAAGTTTCCATCTTGGTTTTTGAGCTTGTTTTCTGGTTGTAGTCTTTCACCCCGTAATTTCCCTCATAAGGCATAGCCTTGCCCTCTTCACACAAAATTAAACCTGCCAATATTCAAGAAGGTGTCATTACCAGCTGTTCAGATATGTGTCAAGAAATATCAGAATGTCACTTTTAGTGTCATTTAGACAGCTGTTTAACTTAGTTTTAGTGAGTCTTTATTACCTAATACTAGAACAACCCGGGTCCTAAAGGTAAGGATTACCAGAATGGGGCTAGTCCGAGTAACTAGGACTCTACAAATCGCCTTTTTAAATTCTATCATTTGGACATGGTCTATGGCTAGTCTATGAAATAGACCATGGCTGAGCCATGGTCTATAATATTTGAGCAGATTTGCTGATTAATTATGCAAGACAACTGCATCTTGACCTTTGACCAATCAGCAGGTGCTTTCTATATCGGGTCTTTGGTCATTCACCCATTGTCGCATCATACATAGACATGGATAAAAAAACCTAGACACAGCAACAAACTACAAAGGCTGTAGTCACGCGCTCTGTAAGCGATATGTGCCCGGCTGTTGTTGTATTACAAAACACTGCATTCGAATTGACAACTCTAACGTTAAGACCAGGGCCCAATTTCACGGCGCTGCTAAGCACACAATTTTCTGCTAACAGAGCCTTCGTCTATTTCAGGGAGACCGTAAGCATGAGCACAGCAAAAGGCAAGCTTACTTCCGAGGAAAAATTTGCTTAAGTAACTTAATGACGTAACAATAGAAATCTCCATGCACGCACGACCATTAGCACGTCCACGCCATGAAATAGTGCTTAAGGTTAGCAAATTTTTCTGCCATGCTAAACACAACTTTTCTGCTAACTGTTAAGCGGCGCCGTGAAATTGGGCCCTGATTTGGGAATGAAAAAACGTCACGATTTAGTAAAGTCGACTTCAATTGGCTCAGGCGCGAGATTGCATATTAAATGTGCATGCTGTGATACTTATTTATCAGACATTAGACAGGAGTCTGTCTAATATATGTAAAAAAATTCCAGATTCGTTTGCACACGTTTGCATATCAAAATTTCAACATGAAATCTCACGAAAATTAGACATCTGAAAAAGGCAGCACTTTCTGATTAGCCTATAAAGAGGGTGAGTATGCTTCTAAAGCAAAAATAAACTACAAACTTCTAATAACCCTCATTTTATCATTTAAATGCTTCAATGATGAGCCACTATTATTCTAGTTAAATGCTTCAATCACAGCAAGCTCACATTAAACTGTATTGTGTTACGCATTCCAACATGGCACATGTATGCATCAGAACAGCAGCAATCGTGTCAGTGTTTTATTCAGTCTGAGATCAGATTATAACAAAGCAATGGACATTAAGTTGGTGACGAGGATAAACAGAATAAACCTCTGATGCCTGGGTAAGCAACTGAATACCTAGTAAAGCAGAAACTTATGCAGAAAAAGGAGTAAATTTGTGGCGAAAATTGACATTGACATCGTGTACTTTTGGTGTAGTTACAGCATGGCCACGGGATCAGGACAGCAACCTGTACCGATAACTGTTGTAACTGAAATCAGAAACTTAAAGAGTCAACCATTTACTCACCCTGATGACCAAATATCAACTGGAAAAGCTTGGGAAGAATAGAGGGCATAGAGAGAGAATTTCGCTACTTCAAGATTAGCAGCCCCATCGACAAAAAGGATGCCCTGTTCATTTATGGTGGCAAAGAAATCGCCAGACTGGAGAAAAGCTTACCCGATCCTGGGGATGTGGATGATATTTATGAGAAGCTGAGGACAAAACTGAACAATTACTATACCCCAAAGAAAAATAAACATCATGCCAGATACCTGTTCCTGAAGATGAGACCCACACCCCAAGACACCACCATGGCTTATGCAGCTAGGCTAAGGGAAAAGGCCATTCAATGTGAGTTTGGAGACACTCGTGATGACTGAATTCTAGAGCACCTGATCCAGACCATAACAAGCAAAACCCTCATCCAGAACAAGAAGTGGTCGGTGACACAAATGTTAACAGAGGCCGCACAGATAGAGAATACATGTACGTCCTTGCAGATAAGCAGCATGAGGCCCCCTGATGACAAAGCAAGCAATGTGACCAAGGTGGGATATCAGCAATCATCACGACAGAAGAAATCCATCGGTGGGCATTATGGAAAGCCCAAATTCCATAAATCACCACCGTGCGCCTACTGTGGACTGACCGGCACCCACCCACAAGGCAAAAACTGCCCAGCCTATGGCAAGAAATGCAACAAATGCCAGAAGTGGAATCACTTTGCATCTGTTTGCCGAGCCGACCGACCCTGTGAAGAAAGCAGAGCCCTGCCCAGTCAGCCTGTCCTCCCAAAACATGCCAAACCCAAGCAGCGTGGGAATCGCTTCAAAAAGACGAGCATGGAAGAAGACGATCAAACTGTCAGTTGTAGAGGACTGTCTCATGTGCGGAGACCGTTTCGTGATACCAGAGAGTCTGCAGAACAACCTGACTTCACTTGCTCATGAGGTGCACCAGGGAATCGTACGCTGTAAACAACGCCTCCGTGACTGTTACTGGTGGCCTTGCATGGATCGAATGGTCGAAGAGGCCATACGCAACTGCTTCACCTGCCAATCCAATGACAAAACTGCCCGAACTCGGACTGCTCCACTCCAACCTGTGCCGTTGCCAGAGGGACCTTGGCAAAAACTGGCGATTGATATCACCGGACCTTTTGAAAAGGGTCCTCAGGACTGTAGATTTGCTATACATGTAGTTCTCATCGATTACTACAGCAAATGGCCAGAAGTTGCATTTGCTCGAACTGTCACTTCTAGCACAATCATTTCGATGCTAAATACGGTTTTTGCACGCGAAGGACTGCCCAATGAAATTGTCACTGACAGCGGAGTACAGTTTACTTCATCTGAGTTTGAGAACTTTCTGCACAACTGCGGAATCAACCACTACAAGTCATCGCTTTACTACCCAAGGGCAAATGGGGAAGTAGAGCGTTGGAATAGGGTTCTCAAACAGACCCTACAGCTTGCTTCACAGGAGAGGAGAGGGTGGTAAGAGGCAGTTGTAGAACTACTTACTGCCTATCGTTCAACACCACACCAGACAACAGGGAAGTCACCATCCGAACTACTGCACAATCGGAAGCTGATCACGCGTATGAACATTCGTCACGATAAACCACCTCAGCAGGATGATGCTGAACTTCGCAGTCGTGTTGCTCAGAGACAGGAAAAATCTCGCAACTACACTGACTCAAAGCGTGGTGCGATTAATCCAAAATTCAAGCCAGGAGACTTTGTACGCGTGAAACGACCAAACAAAGGGACAACCAAATTCTCTACTCCACAGAAGATTGTCAACACTAAGGGACCATTTACTTATGTGTTAGAGGATGGAAGAGTCTGGAACGCTTCAAAATTAAGTCTATGCCCTGTAGAATTTATGGCACAGGGTTCAAGCTCAAATGGCATTCAAAATTCCACAGCAGAAAACAAGCCTGTGGCCGGGGATGGTCAAGTTCGACATTCAACCAGACCTCGAAATCCCCCAGTGTGGTCAAAAGATTATGACATGTAGTCCAGACCCTTTCATACATATGTTCCATCAGTCAAGCAGTTAAATGACTAAATCTAGGATAATATGGACTCATGTAATTGGGACACTTAAATCTTATCGGACACTAGATTCACCATATTTACTCACTAGGGACTCTGAACTTTTGCCAAGTTACTTCGGGCTTTGAGAAGAATAAGGCTTGCAAGTTGAAACACAAAATTCACAGTTTGTTCATGTTGTTGCTAATTTTACTTAATAGTTGTTACTCGAGTTCTTTCTTAAAGAGGAGGGGAGATGTTGTGTCTAAATGCATTTGTGATATAGCGCCCTCCAGTGTTGGAAATGAAAAAGGTTGTTGCGTGGAACGGGAAAATACAAGTTGTACGTTACTACAAAGTTGTGTCGTTTTGTGAGTACTTTTTCATACAATTTACGGGGAATATACCACAACGGAGTTTAGGGGCAAACTGTGCAGCGGTTCTGTGGGAAATAGCTTGGTTGTGATGGACGTTTTTGTACTCGGTTGGTGTTTTGTAGAGGCAAACAATTTTGCGGGGTAAGTTGTCTATGAGGCTCCACTACGTGGAGCCTCATAGTTTACTTCTAGGAGTATTGTTGATGTACCCTAACGTGGCGCGGCCCCCAACGTGGCGCACTTTGATTTTTCGCCTGTAGTGCCTACCTAGAGCAAAAGTTTTAACTGAAATTTCACAGAAAGCGACATTTCATCAAGTTCTTAACACTCCCATTCATAAATTGCGAGTTTATTTACCCGTAACAAAGTTAGAAGAAAAATTTATTTTGGCGTGATTTTCCGATTTTATTTTCAAGTGCAAAGTGAACCCTTTGAAAATAACCCGAGAAAAAACGAAAATAATTTTGTGACAAACATCTGGCTGGGTATGTAAGTAGAGATAATAATGATTTATCAGAATCTATCAAGTTAAAAGAAATTCTTAAATGTTAATTTGGAATTTTCCGAGTTTTATTTAAGTGCGCCACGTTAGGGAACACTCCGCGAATTTGTGCCCAATTTCCAGACGCCACCTTTTTGAATTTCGGATTAAATTTTATGAAACCGAAATTGTTCACAGAGGTTAAATAGCACGCATTAATAAGGTAAAAGTACCAGTATTTTACTGCATGAATTTGAGGTTTGTCAACAAAGAGGTTTGGCCACACTACACGAGGAAAGTTGGGTAAGCTTCGAAGTGCGCCACGTTAGGGAACACGACTATATGGTGGTGTTCCCTAGCGTGGCGCACTTCGATCAAGAACTTGATGAAATTTCACTTTCTGCGGAAATTTCAGATAAAACTTTTGCTCTAAGCTAGGTGCTACAGGCGAAAAATCAAAGTGCGCCACGTTGGGGGCCGCGCCACGTTAGGGTACATCAATGATCAACAATATATAAAGACGACAACTTGTCCTTTGTAGATCACCAGCCAGTCTCACCATTCTCACCAATATGGCGTCGAATTCATTCATTGTGCTGCTCCTTATCTGCTATCCAGTCTTTATATATATATAGAGATCAGTGGTCGCACTGCTCGCCAAAACCTGGGGAAACAAATAATTATAGGCAGTGTATATTTTGCCGGAGACGGCAAACCTTTAGTAAACGTTAGTTTGCCGGATATGCACTGAACATGCGCAGTTACTGTTTTTTTGTACTTGAAACATTTTCCGGTGACAAGTTTTAGTCTGGCTCCATGCCAAAATTATCGTTGTTACCTCGTATTCACAAGATGGGATTCAGACCATTTTATAATTTCGGACTTTATTTCCCTTTTAAAAAAAATCCTCCAGAGCCACAAATCTGAAAAAGAAAATGTAATACTCTGCAAAAAATGTTTGAGACATGTTAAAATAATAAAAGAAGAATATTCTTATTTATTTGGGGATGAGAAAAAAAACCTTAAAAATGCGGTGCGGTCAGAATCGATCGAACGCGAGTCATCCCACTTACTAGAGCCTTTGCTTAACCATTACACCAAACGTGCTACACAACTTTTGGTGCGAATTTAATACATCTTATAATTCAGCCCTATTTTAAAGAGTACAGCGCCCTCTGTTGATATGGATTGCCGCCGGCAAACCTTTAGTAATCGTTAGTTTGCCGTCATTACCTCCGGCAAAATATCCACTATCATAATTATATACAACTGCGTGCGTACGTAACAAAAAAGTATCGTAGAGGGCGCCAAACAACCATGTATGCGGATGTCGTTTGGGAAAAGAAAATTTGCAGCTGTTTACCTCTCTTGACATCCCTGTGAGTGTGAGCTCAGATTCATCATAATTTGATTCTGCAGCCTTTGGTTCCATACTCGATACTAGAACATGTAGGCTACTACTGAGTACTAGGCCTAGTGTTTTCGAATACTGTCTCTGCTACAGTAGCAACGGGTAAAATACAGTCAGTAGCATGCAACGACCTAGCCCGACTGCGTCTGGCCGTACAGTACTATCGCAAGCTCTGTAGTACGGCCAGACGCCCGATGCTTCCACAGAGACTGAATTTTGTTGGCCGCCGATGTAGCGATTTTGCTACATCTTTCGATGGCAATTATCTTTTCATCCAGGACACAAATTTCCAAAGTTAAGGTTCGTAGTCGTAGAGCAACTCATACCTTTTCGAAAAAACGTTGTTTGGTCTCAATATTTTCATCCATCTGGCCACAAGACGAATTTCTGTCATCAGATTCCACAAATATCGTCCCCCATGCGATCCCCCATGCGATTTCAAAATGGCGGCCGCGCTGTAATGTTGCAATATGCAGGCGCGCCCGCGCAAACTCATGAATATGCATAAACAGTCTGTGACGTATGACCGTGTTTTTGGAAGTACGGCCCCGCCGCACGCACGTCCAAAAACACGAGGTCATACACGTCACAGACTGTTTATGCATATTCATGAGTTTGCGCGGGCGCGCCTGCATATTGCATATATTACAGTGCGGCCGCCATTTTGAAATCGCATGGGGGATCGCATGGGGGACGATGTTTGTGGAATCTGATGACTGAAATTCGTCTTGTGGCCAGATGGATGAAAATATTGAGACCAAACAACGTTTTTTCGAAAAGGTATGAGTTGCTCTACGACTACGAACCTTAACTTTGGAAATTTGGGTCCTGGATGAAAAGATAATTGCCATCGAAAGATGTAGCAAAATCGCTACATCGGCGGCCAACAAAATTCAGTCTCTGTGGAAGCATCGGGCGTCTGGCCGTACTACAGAGCTTGCGATAGTACTGTACGGCCAGACGCAGTCGGGCTAGCAACGACCGGACTTCAAGTTCTCCCCGCCAGTCCGCCACTCAAATGCACTCGGTTCAATGGAACTAGCGTAGACTTGATGACAAGTCGTTAGATAGTCGTATTTTGTCCGTGTCTTCAGTCGAACCAGTCATAGAGCTATGTCGAGCGCAAAGTGAGTCCCCCGCGCAAGTTTAAACCTGCGCGCACGCAAGTTTAAACTTGCGCGCGCATTCATTTCCTTGCTACAAATTGCGCACGCAAGTTTAAACTTGCGCACTGCATAGATTTTCCCGGCCACGCATACAGAGCCGTAGCCCGACTGCGTCTGGCCGTACAGAACTATCGCAAGCTCCGTACTACAGAGCTTGCGATAGTACTGTACGGCCAGACGCAGTCGGGCTAACAGAGCCGCTAAACTATTTTGCCCCTGGGTATACTCATGCAGATATGTAACATTATTTTTAAAGCAGATTTTTTCTCCATCACTGAGCTTCGGGAGACAATGTCTTAATGCCTTTTTTTTTAACATTTGATTAAATTCATTAATGAAATCATTTGCAAATTTATTTACTTTTTAAAATAATTACCATTTTATATGCATAGCGTTTTTAAGTTGTAAACATTTTTTAATATGAATTATTGAGCCTGCAATAAAAATATATTTGTTACAGTAATACATTTAATTAATTAATTAAATTAGTAATGCATTCATTAATTTTTTTTCAAATTATGCATTTTTGAAGTGTACACAGCGCTCGAAATGTTATGCAAGTATTTCTAAAAACAATATGAATTATTGTACCGTAAAATTTATTAATTGTTAAATTAATTACTATTTTTTTAAGAGTAAGTACTTTTTTAATTGTAGAATACATAAGCATTTTAAAAATAATGTAAATGATTAGTATAATGTCAAAACTTGAACATTGAAGGGATCATAATCATTCTTTTTACGTTAACAGCGGGTTACACCTAGGAAATTATGATTTATTTACATTCAAGAATATAAATAAAATGCCAATTAGGTTTACAAAGCAAAAAACTTGAAGCTGGTCTCCATTTTTGAAACAACTTCAGTACACTTGCCAAGCAATCGCCGCTAGTGTGCTTAAGTTGATTGCTTGCCCGGTCCCCTCCCTGGCCCCGCCCCCACGTACCCTTAAACAACTTCTCTGATAAGCACTGCTAAATCTCAATGTTTCTTTTCATTGATGCTAATTGAATTCCCCTTTTTATTTATTTCTTTATTCATTCATTTATTCCATTATTTCTCCATGTACTTTGTAGTCGTGTTTTGAAAAAAAATAATCTTCATCAGTGAAAATCCCGCCCGCAAAAGAAGGTTGCGATCGCCTTTGCGCAAGTTTAAACTTGCGCACGCAAATTAAAATGGCGCGGTGTAATTTCATCTCATCTGGGCGCTTGCGTCAAGTTGATCTGACATCGCGCACTCTGTAAGTGTTCTCCACTGTTCTCTGTCTAATGCCACGTGCCACGTGCATCGAACCACTGATCTCTATATAAAGACGGGATAGCGGATATGCGTACAACAAACACACAGTAGACTTTGCATATTGACCAATTCGCCCCCGGTCTCACGAAGATGGCCGCGTATAATTCGAACGTTCTACGCGTAAATACGCGCGCGTTGTATTAACAGTTGACGCGCATTTTGGTCACGTACACATATTATGATGTTCTAAAAGGGACACATTTCCGTAGTGATTATTATTTCAAAAACGCCGAAAAAGTGATTTGCGGCATTATAAAAGCAACCACGACGTTAGAAAAATTGTAGTAAACCTTGGTCAGTTGGTCAGCGGTGGTGGCCAAAATATACGTCAAGTGAACCGCGACGTTACAAAATAAATCATGCTGTCTATAAAAGACGGCAACTTGTCCTTTGTAGATCACCAGCCGGTCTCACCAATATGGCGTCAAATTCATTCATTGTGCGGCTCTTTATTTAGCTATCCAGTCTTTATATAGAGATCAGTGGGTTGAACACGCGGCCAGAAATCCGGCCGATCGACTTCGTGGCTACCTTTGAGCGGTTGAGCCAGGTCAAGTTGCTGTGAAAAAAAAATCATGCATGAGTGGGTTTACAACTTGGGCCTGTCGTGAATATTGGCGTCAATATTTGCGACATAGAGGCCATATGTCGTCAATATTGGCGTCAATATTGGCGTCAATCTTTGCGACTTGGAGACCATGTCGTGAATATTGGCGTCAATATTGGCGTAAATATTTGCGACTTGGGTCCATGTCGTGAATATTGGCGTCAATATTGGCGCAAATATAAAAATTGGCATTAAAAAAGTAAACCACGACGTCAGAAAAATTGTAAACCTTGGTCAGTGGTCGTGGTAAAAATATAAGTTGAACCGCGATGTTACAAAAGAAATCATGCTGTCTATAAAGACGGCACCTTGTCCTTTGTAGATCACCAGCCGGTCTCACCGGTCTCACCAATATGGCGTCAAATTCATTCATTGTGCGGCTCTTTATCCGCTATCGAGTCTTTTAATATATAGAGATCAGTGTTTTGGAATTATGGCTAATTAATTATTCATATGCACGAATGTTAATTCTGCTCTGTGTACCGTCGGGAGAAATTCAGTTTTCATGACGCGTAGCGCCAGAATAATTTTCGCTGCGCTGCAACCCGTGGTCTGATTTTTATGTTTTTGGTATCAAAAGATGCGCAAGCTAGGCTACAGGCTATAAAGTAATAACAGCTGGGGTCGCGGAAATTTTGTTTTCTCAAGGCTATCGATGAAAAAGACGAGGGGGGCGGACTCCTTGAGGGTTAATCCAGAGTACCGTAACATAACACCCCCTCCCCCCCCGGAAACAAAATTGATGGTAACAATCAACATGCACTACTGGCATAGGCTTCATTGTTCACCAGTTAACTGCCTGTCTGTATTTATTGCCATAATCACCTGCAATAACAGCGTAATATTATGCCAACCCATATGCTAAGGGATGTACATATAATGCATATTATAATGTAACTTAATGGCAAAACACAAAACTAACAAAAATAGAGACTAAGCTACTCATTTGGAGATGTTATCACATGTTTTTGTACTTAGGTCAATCCTACAAAGCATTTGGCACCCCTAATGTTTTGCCACCTCGGGTGGTACCAATATCTGGTCTGGCCCATGGACTAGGTGTATAAAATGCTAGTAGCGTGGAGGTGATATGCAAGGCAAAACATTCTGGAGCAAAAACTTGTGGCTGTCGATATTTAATATATATCAAAAAGAACTTGAAGAACAAAAAAATAATCATTTTTAGGATAAAAAAAGAGAAGTTTTGCAGCACATATATTACGCTTAAAAAACCCCACACCCTCATTGTTAATGACATAGAGCGTTTTCGAAACGACTGGCTTTGGCTTCGTCTTCGGCTTAATGACATTTTAGGCCCCGACTTCGGGGACTCAAGCTACATTTTGGTGCCTGTTGTGCTTCAGAAACATTCAATCGGTTGATATGAAGACAAAAGTTGGAATATTTTCGTTTAGTTTGCCTCTCAGTGATTCAGAAGTAGGAGGCGAAGCCGAAGCCGAAGCAAAGGTTTCGAAAACCCCCATAGTCCAATAGTAAGAGGCACGTGACGTTAGATGTTAACGTATGGTAACCAACGCCTTTGAGTGCAATGTGTTAACCAGTTGCATATTTCGCCAGGCTACACGTGTCGTGTCATGTAACCGGCAGTGAGTTACGCGCGTAACAAAACGTACCGTGTAAATTGATATGATGTGAATGTGATGCTGTCTGATTGATTTGCAAGTGGAACCCGGAACCTGGAAGAATTTTTCGTCAGAAAGATGGAGGTTTTCCTTGTTATATTGAGTATTTTGTATGTTGTGCGACCAGTTGTCTGTGACTGTGTGGTGGACAGCAAGTCAGAAGAAAAGTACAAAAATCTTTTTAAACCTCTCAAAGGAAAAACGTAAGTGGGTTTCTCATTTCATTTTAGCCCCATAAATGTGGCCAATTTACTGGACAACCTCCGTAAACATGGTAAACAAAGGCCACACTTCCACTAGACCCGTGAACGTGGCTATATACATAGCCACGCTTCAATCTATGGTAAAAACACTCTATTGTGATCCACAATTACTGTGATCATGCTGTGATTGAGTGACCGTTCTAGTACTAGCCGAATTTCGGCTACATTTGACAGAATATTTCATAGTATTACTAAAATGAGTTGTACAGAAAATCCAGCAGAATATTTTTTTGGGCAGAATTATGTAGATGAAGGACAATGAAAAAGATTAGAGAAATATCTAGAAAGGTCTAGGATGTCACTAGCCCGACTGCGTCTGGCCGTACAGTACTATCGCAAGCTCTGTAGTATGGCCAGACGCTCAATGCTTCACCACAGACTGAATTTTTTTCCCGCTGATGAGCGATTTTGCTACAGATTTTGATCGAGATTATCTTTTCATCCAAAATTTTCCAAACTTAAGGTTCTTACTAGTCATAGAGCAACTCATACCTTTTCGAAAAAACGTTCTTTGGTCTCAATATTTTCATCCATCTGGCCAAAAGACGACTTTCAGTCATCATCTTCCACAAATACCTTCCCGAAAATGCTCCCCCATGCGATTACAAAATGGCGGCCGCGCTGTAATGTATGCATTATGCGGGAGCGCTCGTGCAAATCATGAATATGCATAACAGTCTGTGACGTATGACCTCGTGTTTTTGGATGTATGTACATGATTACTTGTAGACAACAGCCCAGTACATGCAAGCCATAGATATAGAATAAAAAGACTAGATCGGCAGTGCGTCCACACGCGCCGACTTGCATGGAGGGTCACGTGCTTGAGGAAAGATACAAATAATGCGCGAAAACGTGACGAACGTAACGCCGTTCACGTGCACAGTGCACCATTATCGCTAACGCGTGGGCGCATCGCGCAAATACTCGGTGGCTTCGCGCGCGTTGAGCTTGGTCACATGCTGGAGGAAAGATACATTTAGCTCTGTCGAGCGCAATTTGAGTCCCCCACGCAAGTTTAAACTTGCGCGCGCAAGTTTAAACTTGCGCGAGGGACTCCTGAAGCACGCAAATTGCACCGCGCCATTTTAATTTGCGTGCGCAAGTTTAAACTTGCGCAAAGGCGATCGCAACCTTCTTTTGCGGGCGGGATTTTCATTGATGAAGATTTTTTTTCTTTCAAAACACGAGTATGGAATAATAGTGAAATAAATGAATGAATAAAGAAATAAATAAAAAGGGGAATTCAATTAGCGTCAATGAAAAGAAGCATTGAGATTTAGCAGTGCTTATCAGAGAAGTTGTTTAAGGGTACGTGGGGACCGGGAGGGGACCGGGCAAGCAATCAACTTAAGCACACTAGCGGCGATTGCTTGGAAAGTGTACTGAATTTGTTCAATAATGGAGACCAGCTTCAAGTTTTTTGCTTTGTAAACCTAATTGGCATTTTATTTATATTCTTGAATGTAAATACATCATAATTTCCTAGGTGTAACCCGCTGTTAACGTAAAAAGAATGATTATGAACCCTTCAATTGTTCAAGTTTTGACATTATAGTAATCTTTACATTATTTTTAAAATGCTTATGTATTCTACAATTAAAAAAGTACTTATTTAAAAAAAAAATAGTAATTAATTTAACAATTAATAAATTGGACGGTACAATAATTCATATTGTTTTTAAAAATACTTGCATAACATTTCGAGCGCTGTGTACACTTCAAAAATGCATAATTAAAAAACGCGTGTGGACGCGCTGCCAATCTAGTCTTTTTATTCTTTATCTATGGTGCAAGCACACGTACGTCCGCGCGGCGGCCCTGCGGCGCGCATGCATGCAGCCGTCACTGATCCGGCGTGAGCTTTTTCCGCACCGGCCCGTCTACCAGTCGTTTGCTGTGCGCGACGGCTGCATGCATGCGCGCCGCAGGGCCGCCGCGCGGACGTACGTGTGCATGCACGTACTGGGCTGTTGTCTACAAGTAATGTACATGTACGTACAGCCCCGCCGAACGCACGTCCAAAAACACGAGGTCATACGTCACAGACTGTTTATGCATATTCATGAGTTTGCATAAGCGCGCCCGCATAATGCAACATTACAGCGCGGCCGCCATTTTGATATCGCATGGGGGAGCATTTTCGGGACGATATTTGTGGAAGATGATGACTGAAAGTCGTCTTTTGGCCAGATGGATGAAAATATTGAGACCAAAGAACATTTTTTCGAAAAGGTATGAGTAGCTCTACGACTAAGAACCTTAACTTTGGAAATTTTTATCCTGGATGAAAAGATAATCTCGATCAAAATCTGTAGCAAAATCGCTACATCAGCGGGAAAAAATTCAGTCTCTGTGGAAGCATTGAGCGTCTGGCCGTACTACAGAGCTTGCGATAGTACTGTACGGCCAGACGCAGTCGGGCTAGGATGTCACTGACCACAGTGGGGTGTGGGTAGTGAATAACGGCAAGCAGTGAGCATTTACATGTAAATATTTTACATGTAGGGCCCTATGTGGATTTTGATTGTCCACGCAACCTCAGCTCAGTGGGCAAAGGGGTGGGCCGCCTAAAAATACTATCGGGATGGGAACGCCTTGTTACAAAAAAAATGCAATCTTTTTGCGTACATTTTCCCATAGGGACCGAGCTGGTCACGGACCGAGTTGGTCACGGACCGAGTTGGTTACGGACCGAGTTGGTTACGGACCAAGTTGGTCACGGACCGAGTTGGTCACGGACCGAGCCAGTCACGGACCGACTCGGTTACGGACCGAGTTGACTTGGACCGAGTTGGTCACGGACCGAGTTGACCTAAAAGCTTTCTGAGTGGGCCACCACAAGCCCAGGTGGACAACGATCGTGAAGGAATGTCGGACACTTCGCCCCATTTCCACTTCGCCCCTAACCACTTCGCCCCATCCCCACTTCGCCCCAGCCGTTACATGTAAAAAAAAAAAGAAGCATTTTCTTTCCAGTTATGTTATGCTCATTAAAGTGTAGCCCCACTAGTGTGGCCGCGGTATGCTGCGCTGAACCTCTGGCCACACACCGTGGTACCGCGCACTACTGAGGGCGTTTTCATAACATTTACAGGCAGTTTCTTACATATGGTTGTATTCTATGATGTCCCATCTATCACTTCTGGGATGCTTAAGTGTAATGATGTTCAATTTTCCGAGATATTCTTGAATCTTTCTGGAGCCCATATGCACTCGTGAAACGTCTGGTGATGGCAGCCATTTTGAATGTGACAAGAGATGACCTCAAGCTGTGACGTCGCGTTTATGCAAATTGCTTGTCGAGCGAGGGTGTGAGTTGCAAATGCGACGGCTGTTTCCTGTGTCGCGCGCGTCGTCCAAGCCGTCGACATCGATGCCCGCGCAGCGCATGCACAGGGTATTATTTTCATTTTTAATTGGAACAGGAAACAGCCGTCGCATTTGCAACTCGCGCCCTCGCTCGACAATCAATTTGCATAAACGCGACGTCACAGCTTGAGGTAATCTCTTGTCACATTCAAAATGGCTGCCATCACCAGACGTTTCACGAGTACATATGGGCTCCAGAAAGATTCAAGAATATCTCGGAAAATTGAACATCATTACACCTAAGCATGCCAGAAGTGATAGATGGGACATCATAGAATACAACCATATGTAAGAAACTGCCTGTAAATTTTATGAAAACGCCCTCAGTAGTGCGCGGTACCACAGTGTGTGGCCAGAGGTTCAGCGCAGCACACCGCGGCCACACTAGTGGGGCTAATTAAACTGCTGAGATGTAGGCCTAAGTTAAAGTTCATTAGCTCATTAAAGTGCTTATAAAGTGCCTGAGATGTACACGTATTCTATGTACTTTCAATATTTGTTCTTCAAACAGATTTTGTAACATTTTTACTGAGATTTAACTTGTTTTCAGACCTCCAATTTCGCAATTTTTGGACTTATTTTTCAATCCTAAACATTTAGCTAGAGAGGCAGTGGCATTTTAGTCCATGCAGCTTTTTCCCCAGTTTCTCTGTTTTCAAATCGATTATTTTTTCTTCAGTCCGTCACCAATGCGCTGGACTGATGTTCAATTTTCATTAGGCCACTGGCTGAGTGGCTCGGTGTTCTCCACACAGTCGGCATCCTCTCCAATAATTAGCACGCCCGCTTTGTACACAACGAAGACCAATCAGCTTGAAAGTTGATTGTTACCTCAGTCAATCCATCAAGCTACTGTGCAAATCATGCATGTGCCCAACAGTTCGGTGTAGTACAGGGCAACAATTAATACAAAGCCAACGTGTTGTACAAAAAAAACAATCAAATTAATGATTTTAATGCTCGAAAAGTCTTTGGGTAACTCCAACTAAAGAAATTGAACAAAAAATTAAAGATGATGAAATAAGCAATGTGTGTCTCGGTCCCTGTGTCTCGAACACCTCATCAGAGAGTTTGTATTTTTCCTGAGTTTCTAGAATTGGGAGCATTCGGGGTCTTTGGCAGTTTATTTACTGGTCTGCTGCACCCCTGGCCTTCACCTTTTTCAAACTACATGGGGCGAAGTGGGGATGGGGCGAAGTGGGGATGGGGCGAAGTGAGAATGGGGCGAAGTGAGGATGGGGCGAAGTGGAGATGGGGCGAAGTGGTTAAGAGCGAAGTGACATGGGGCGAAATGGAAATGGGGCGAAGCGTCCGACACCCTCGTGAAGTGTAGGGCCCCTGTTTTGTTTTGATAAAATTAGAGTCAAAAATATTTTTTATTGCTCAAAAATCACCTTTACAATCAAAAGCAGACTTTTCTCCATTCTAATGACACCCGTTTTGCAATTTTGAACAGATTCTTGGGGTAAAAATCACGATTTTTCCTGCGCGGTTTGTGCCTTGCGATTCAGCGCGCCGTGTGTGCTCACGGTACATCGCGCGGTGATCACCATCTTTATTTTCGGGTC